GGGAAGGGCAAGGTGCTGAAAGGAGGGAGCAGACAAAGAATGAAGGTAACAAGGTGCCTAGGTAAATCCTGGTGCCCAGCTGAACAAGTACACAAGGCAAGGAATCCAAGTCCTGTTCCTTTTTTTATTTTTATTTTTATTTTTTAATATGCTTTTAATTTATTTTTTTTTAGAGAGAGAGAGAGAGAGAGACATCCATTAGCTGCCTCCTGCATGCCCCCTACTTGGGATCGAGCCCACAACCCGGGCATGTGCCCTGACCAGGAATCAAACCTGTGACTTCTCTGTGCATGGGCTGAAGCTCAACCAACTGAGCTGCACCAGCCAGGGCAGAAGACCTGTTCCTTCATCTTGGGAAGGTGTATTAACATCTGAGCCCCAGTTTCCTCCTCTGGCAGTGGGCTAGATGATCTCTAAGGGTCTTTCCTCTGTTAAATCTACAGTCTATACCAATTCTAACAGTGCTACCCCAGGATAGAAAACAAGCCAATGCTGGAAAATCCCTTCTCTTTACAGATCCATAGGCACACACATCCATGCAGGTGGCCATCCATGTGTCTCATAGATCTCATCATTTTCTGCTTTATATTGCAATTTTATTAGTGTGCTTTTTTCTTTTTTATCCTATCATTGGGTGTTTCCTTGCAAGAGGAAAGATAGTCTTAACTTTACCCAGAACAGTAGTCACCAATAGATTTTTTAACTGAACTGAAGGAAAGCATCCAGTATTTTTAATTTTTAATGATTTATCATGTGTTTTAAACTTTCAAGTAAATTTCAATGGAAGCCAGGTTGCTGAGAATGCAACAGCAAATTCAGCAAGTACTCTGAAATTAGAGGAAATGAGGTTTTGTCTCACAACCTCAGTTGGCTTATTTTATTAATTCTGTGCTACAAAGCCTTTAGTAGATATATCTCAGTTTAATATTTTAGAATTATAATGTATCAAAATATGTTCAATGACTATGTAAATAAGTGTAATATTGTACATGTCCAATGCAGGCTTGCTAAGAGTTGTCTGAAAGCCAAGGTTCTTGACTTATAGAGAAATAAGATCAGTATTTAAAGTTGTTTTCCTAGTCTCTGTTGAAAATTTTTGGCATGAAAATAATATAAAGAGTAAAATGAAGGCAGATATTAGACTTTTAGCAATTAAAGTTTGATTCTTAATTATTACTATATAGTATGCATTTCTTTCCAACTTACTGCATTTGAAGAAATTATTTCTTTCATTATAAAATTGGTGTAGGAACTAATTAAGTCCAAAAAAATGTTCAATGAGTGAATATTACTTTATTTTTTTTAAGTCAGTACAGGGACATAGGTAGAAATAGGCATTTTGTGTAATCCAAGAATTTTTACTTAAGCGAATGAATAATAGTCACTCTATGACAATCCCAGAGTATAAAAACACGTTCTGTTAGCTTGGGAATGGCAAGCGTAAGAAAAATGCTGTGGGGAGGACCATATATACACATGGCCTCTAGAGCCACCTAGACACTAAAACAACTTGTCGGGAATATGCCCTTTTTGGCTTTACCAATGGCTTACCTCTCCTCTCCTCTGGTCTCCTTCTAGGCTGCCCTATCAAAGGCCACCCTACCCCCAATATCACCTGGTTCCATGGTGGTCAGTCGGTTGCCACTGTCACAGGATTGACACATCATATCTTGGCAGCAGGACAAATTCTCCAGGTTGCAAATCTAAGTGGCGAGTCTCAAGGGGAGTTCAGCTGCCTTGCTCAGAATGAGGCAGGAGTGCTCGTGCAGAAGGCCTCTCTCATCGTCCAGGGTAAGAGACCCTTTGGGCTTCAGGTGTTGCGCTTATTTCTAAGTCAAGTGAGTCCCCCTGGGAATCTAATTCTCTGGTAAACGAAATGATTTCTGATCTCCGGTGGTTCCTGAAGCATGAAAACTGATGCTAAACCATTTTCCATCATGAGGCCCTTCAGAAGAGCCACTAGGCCCCACAGCAGCAGAACCTGGGAAGTCAGTGCTGCTTTCATACGTGAGCCTTTCAGCTCATAGTGTTTCTGCTGCTCGGGACCAAGGGAACACCACCATATAGCAAAGTCCAATGTGTGTCCTTTATGCTGGGTGAACTAGTAAAGAAAACACACACACACTTGTGCATGTAAAATAGCCTGTTAAGAAAAATGCAAATTATCTCTGTTGGTTTGGTTCCAAAATAAGTCATAATCCGAGCCGCTTGGCTACTGCCTCCTGCCCTGGAGAGTCAGGGCTGGTCCCGATACCTGCCCATAACCCTGGAGTCTTCAGCTGCAGTCACACACTGAGTGCTCTCCAGGCTTGCTTCCTGCGTCCCTGTCACAGACCAGACTGAGAAGCCTGTGCGGCTAGTGCATTCAACTTCCAGGAACACCAGTGGGTCGGAAAGCCCTTGGGCAGGGCCTGGCATTTGCTGTACCCAGAAAGTTATGAATAAGCCCAAACCAGTGGGAGAAGAGCCAAAACTAGCCTTGTTATAGAAACTAAATGAGGCTTTTGAGTTTTTCATAGGCCATTGTACCTGTGGCCTACATGTGACACTTTTAGGGAAAGAAAAATTTTACCATATATTCTAAATGGAGAATTCTGTGAGAAGGGACAGGCTTCTGTGCCAATATGGCCCATCAACAGGGAGACCTCTGAGCACGTAGGTTTTTCCCTTAAACATCCTCCCCTGCCATCTGGCTTTCTGGACAAGAAAGTAAATATTGCATTTTCTTGTCAGCCAGGCATTCTCTGCTGAAAACCAGAGCCTACCTGCAAGATTTGTAACACACAACTCTGAAAATAAGCACTCGCAGTTTACTGACCCACAGTTATTTTAACAGCTTTCCTACCAGTGAGGCCCAGCCCCCCAAATAGAAAAATGCAGAGAAAATGCCTTTCTCACTGACATCAGTGTCTCACATAATTGAAGACTCTGGATAGGCTGGTTTTTTGTAGCATCTTCAAAGTCTAACTTGAATCTGCACTTTTAAATATGATTGTTAAGTATCTCTGATATTTTTATATCTCTTATTGAAAAATAAAGTCACTTTTTGGGGAGCCCGTCAAAAGAAGGAGTACTTTAGGAAGTATGTTTAAAAATACTAAGAGGTACAGCCTCTGGTTGAGTACTCTCTGTGTGCCAGGCACTGAACGAGGCTCTTTACCCTCGTTATATCCAGGCCTCATGGGAACTTGATGTAAGGGCTATTGTGCTCATTTTATGGGTGAGCCAACTGAAGGCTCTGGAGACCTCATAACTTGTCTAGATGCACTTGGAATAGAGCCCACGGAGGGGCAGAGTGTCGTTCATAGCGCCCACCCCCTCCCCCTGCTCAGAAGGAATATAGGGCACAGGCAGTGATGCTATCTGCTTTTCACCTCTGCCCCTCTTCCTGTGACAGATTACTGGTGGTCTGTGGACAGGCTGGCAACCTGCTCGGCTTCCTGTGGTAACAGGGGTGTTCAGCAGCCCCGCCTGAGGTGTCTCCGGAACAGCACAGAGGTCAACCCCGCTCACTGTGTAGGGAAGGTCCGCCCAGCTGTGCATCCTGTCCCCTGCAACCGGAGAGACTGTCCTTCTCGGTGAGTGTGGCAGAGGCTGCCTCGGGCCTCCCCAAGCCCCAATAAGGAGCCTGACTTTGAGCCACATTGGTGACCAGCCCTTCCTGGTCTAGCATGATGCAGGGGGAGACTTTGAGTGCAGGTGAGGGGGCCCGCCCTCCAAGGAGCTGTGCTTTCCCATAGGCCTGGGTTTGTCAGGACTCTGCACCATGCAGAAAATGTCCCTCAGGATGACCCTCACCCTCAGCCCTGTTCGTTCCCTCAGCTCTCAGCAAGTGAAGGGCTTTCCCGGACGTCCCCAGTGCCTGAAAGGCTCTGTTCAGGGAGCAGGCCCATCCCAGGCGCTAGCAAGAGAGGGCTGCCATCCTGCAGTGAGAACCTGGCTGGCTGAAGAAGAAACGTGTGTGCAGCTGGAGTGCCGAGGGGTGGGGATCACTGGCCTCTACCCTGACCCTTCCCTTCTAACTTTAAATACCTGTGCTCATCAGTACTTCAGTTCATTGAAGGAACCTTATTCTCTTTTCCACAAAGGGTGGCATCCTGCTACGTTGAAATGTCTCCATTTCCTATAGCTGCCTCAATGTTGGACATACACTTTCTGCATCAGGGTCCCTTACAGAGCCCAGAATGACCCCCATAGTCTGCCTCTCACATCTTCCTGAGCTTTGAGGAGCCGTGAGTCCCACTGAGCATGCCCACCGCAGCTTCAGTCGGTAGCTGCAGGGATAATGGATGGACGGGCTCAGAGTTGGCACCAGCCTGGCTCCCTGAGCCTGGGGAGACTTGGCTGGTCCCTGAAATGCCCCTTTACTACCTACCTATCTGTAGGACTTCGTACACCACTTAGGCAACCGCTTCGTGTTTTGCCAGCTGAGTCATAAGGAGCAGCTGAAACCAGGAGAGACTCAATGAAATATGAAACACACTCATTAATATCAGCAGTTTGACTTGCTGACGGGAAGGTTTCCACGGGAATGATTAATGTCCTTTTATACCCTTCCTGAACTGTAACATAGCCTGTACCTCTCCTCTCTCAAACCCCTCACCCCAGCTCCTGAAAAATTGCTGAAATGTATATTTGGAAATAAAAGTTGATTGAAACACAGGCCTGACATTCACCAGGGATATAAGAGACTGGAAGACTGCCCTTGCCAAGCTGTGTGAAATGAAGAAGAGGTCTTGGACATGCCAGGGACTTTCTGATTTGCTGGGGTGATGGTCAGAGTCAATCAGCCTCATTTATGTCTGCAAATGAAATAATGGCTGTGTCTGCTTGGGTTTCAGGGCCCCCAGGAGCTTTCAAACACCTCGCGCCTGCTTCCTCAGTGGCTCTGCTTCTGTGGGCTGGAGCTCTGCACGCAGTCCTCTCTCTCCAGGGCAAATGGAGCAGGGAAGTTCTACCAAACTAAATAAATCACAGATCCAGACGCAGGAGGAATTTGCTCCCTGCCCCTGCTCCTTGCCTCTGCTGAGAGCCAGATGTGGCACCACTGAACTGGGAAGTGGCCACAGGTTCACCTTTGTGTGGTTTCCCCACCTTGGCCACTTTAGCAGCCTTGCCTGCATACACAAAAACAGCGCCGCCCTGGTCATCTTTTTTGAATAGCTGTGGGCTGTCCTGTTTTGACCCAGATTGGACCATTTCATTTAGATAATTTTTTTCTCAGAGAATAAAACAAAGAATGCTTTCTCCCCCCCCCCTAGTTTGAGTGAAATGGCTGGAAAGCACCATCTTTTCTAACTATTTTCCCCGAGAACTGCCCCCACTTCCTCTCCTCTTTGAGAATTATCCCAAGGTGCAAACATGCAAAGAGAGCCCCTCCATGTTTGTATATAGACCAAGGATTTCAAAGTTTCCCAGTTGACATCTGGGCTCTATGAAAAACCATTTTTCACTGTCTTGGCCAGTCGCACTTCCAAGGGTACAAATCACAGTTGAAACCTAGCATTCTGAGAACTACTTTCAGCCTTCTAAGAGGTAGAAGACCTGTGGACTGTGACTCACAGAGATGGGAAGTAGCTCCAGAAAGCTGGAGGGAATTTTGCATGTTCCTGAGGATTAAACAAAATCAGATGAGACATGGGTTAAGGTGAGGTAGAAAATACAGTGGGTTCTACCAGACAAAATGTGGGCTTAAGTGAAACCCAGATTACCTCCTGGGTCAGGAAGTGACACAGGTTTGGATCTGACTTCCCCAGGAATTGTCTCTGCTGTGCTACACACTGGGTGCCTTTCCGAAGTACCAGGACCACAGTGCAGTGGAACTAGCTCAAGACTGTTTCTGCAAGCTCACAGCTTTGGGGGCCAGGGTCAAGCTAAAGCAACTGATCTTCAGAATATTCTTTCAAGATGTACCTTTTTAGTCAATTTCCAAAGGGTATTTGTTTCCTGTGACTGCTGTAACAAATTATCACAAACATGGTGGCTTAAAACAGAAATTTATTCTCACAGTTTTGAAGCCCAGGAGTCTAAAATTAAAGTGTCAGTAGGGTTGCATTCCCTCCAAAGGCTCTAGGGGAGAATCTATTCCTTGACCCTTGCAGCTTCTGATGCCTCTGAGCATCCCTTGGCTTGTGGCCACATCACTCCACCTTCTGCCTCTGTGGTCACACTGTCTCCTCCCCTTCTGTGTGGCATCTCCCTCTGCCTTTCTCTTACAAGGATACTTGTGATGATATTTAAGGCCTATCCAGATAATGTAGGATAATCTCAAAATCTCTAATTATATCCACAAAGATCCTTTGTCCAAATAAAGTAACATTCATGGGTTCCAGGGATTTAATGTAGATTTCTTTGGGGGGGGGGCATTTCACTCTATCACTGCAATATCTACTATAAAAAGGGCGATGGCCCCCAAATTATCAGCTGTGTGGCGAGAGCCTGGGGATGTATGGGGCTCTTTTTCTGAAAGCATACAGCATCGTTCCTTTCCCCAAGGCTGACCCTTCGTAGCTGCCCTGACTCCTTTTCCTGTCCGCAGGTGGATGGTGACCTCCTGGTCCGCCTGTACCCGGAGCTGTGGGGGAGGCATCCAGACCCGCCGGGTGACCTGCCAGAAGCTGAAAGCCTCTGGGATCTCCACTCCCGTGTCCAATGACATGTGCACACAGCTTGCCAAAAGGCCGGTGGACACCCAGGCCTGTAACCAACAGCTCTGTGTGGAATGGGCCTTCTCCAGCTGGGGCCAGGTAAGAGGATTTTATCTGAAAGATAAATCTAAAGGTGCTGATGCTTGCAACAGTAGGAAGTGCCTAGTGTGTGATCCTGGAGTATGTTCCACGTGCACTGAGAAAACTGTATAATCTGCAGTTAGGGGATGAAATGCTCCACAAGTGTCAAACTGGTCTAATGTGGCACTTACGGCCGTTATTTTCTTATTAATTTTCTGTCTGGATGATCTGTCCATTGAAGTAAGCGGAGTAGTGAAGTCCCTACGTATTACCTTATTACTGTTAATTTCTGCCTTTATGCCCATTTATTTATCTTGGGTGCCCCTGTGTGGGGTGCATAGATATTTTCGACTGTTACAGCCTCTTCTTGGATTGACCCCTTTAAACAATGTAATGTCTTTCTTCGTTTCTGTTTACATTCTTTGTTTTAAAATCTATTTGGCCCGGTATGAGTATTGCTACCCCAGCTTTCTTTTCATTGCTATTGGCATATAATATCTTTTCCCATCTTTTCGCTGCCAGCCCGTGTGTGCATTTCTATCTGAAGTGAGTCTCTTGCAGGCAGTGTGTATGGGTCATTTTTTCTATTCATTCTGCCACCCTGTGTCTTTTGATTGGGTCATTTAGTCCATTTGCATTTAGAAGTAATTATTGATAGGTGTGCGCTCACTGCCATTTTGTTAATTTTTATTCTGTTCCTTTATTCAGCTCTTGATTTCCTTCCTTTAGATTTGTCGGTTTGCTTTAGGGCTTTGATTGGATTTCTTTCTCCAAGTGTATTTTTTGTTTGGCTTATGGTTACCGTGAGGTTCAGACATATCCATCTGTACCTACCACAGTCTGTTTGAAGCTTATGGGCATTGAAGTTCAATTGCGTTCTAAAAGCACTACATTCTCACACACACCCCTCCAGTCTTTATTTTGCACATCATGTTTAAATCTTGTTTTGTGTATCCCAATTATTTACTGTATTATCTTTATTGTCAAAAGCATTACAGATGTCCCCCTTTTGCCCCATTGACCTACTCCACCCCATTCCTACCCCCGCCCAGACCTTCATGGCACAATGGTCTGTCCATGGGTTACACATATATGCACATAAATTCTCTTCCCATCCCCCTTCCCTCTGAGATCCCTCAGTCTGCTCCATGCTTCCATGTCTCTGGATCTATTTTGTTCATCAGTTTATTTTGTTCATTAGATTCCACATATATGTGAGATCAGTTAATTTGGCTGCTATTGTATTTTAACCTTCATATTAGCTCTTTAAGTGGTTGATTCACTGTAATTATTGTATATGTGCCTTTACCAGTGAGGTTTTTTTTTCTTTCCTGTATTTTCTTATTTCTGGTTATGGTCTTTTCTGCATAAAAAAGATCCTTTAACATTTTTTGTAAGGCTGGTTTAGTAGTTATGAACCCCTTTAGTTTTTGCTTGTCTGGGAAGCTATCTTTCCTTCAATTTTGAAAGAAAACCTTGCCAGATATAGTATTCTAGGTGGTAAAAGTTCTTTCTTTAAATATTTCCTGCCACTCCCTTCTATCCTATAAAGTTACTTCTGAGAAATCAGCTAATAGCCTTGAGAGTTTTCCCTTGTGACTTGTTTCATTCTCGCTACCTTTAAGATGGTCTCTTTATCTCTACTTTTACCATTTTAATTACAATATGTCTTGGTGTGGGTCTGTTTGGGTTCATCTTGTTTGGAACTCTGTGTTTCCTGGACCTGGATGTCTGTCCATGTCCCCAAATTAGGAAGCTTTTCAGCCATTATTTTTTCGAATATTTCCTCTGCCCCTTTCTCTCTCTCGTCTCTGTCTGGATTCCTAAAATATGAATGTTAGGGCACTTGATGTATCCCAGAGACCTTTTATACTGTCTTCATTTTTAATTTTTTTTTAATTTTCCTTTTCTGATTGGGTGATTTCTACTGTCTTCTAATCCATTCTTCTGTATTAACTAATATTCTGTCGATTCCTTCTAATGTGTTCTTTCAATTATTGTATTCTTCATCTCTCATTGGTTCTTTATTACATTTTCTCTTCGTTGAAATGCTCTCCGAGTTCCTCTATTCTGCTCTCGTTTGTTGAGCATTCTTATGACTGTTTCTTTGAATTCCTTTTATTATTTTTTAATCCTCAGCCTAGGATTTGTTTTTATTTTTAGAGAGAGAGAAAGGGAGAGAAAAAGAAACATTGATAGGTTGCCTCCCGTACGCACCCCAACCAGGGATCGAACACGCAACATTTTGGTGTATGGGACAATGCTCCAGCCAAGCCACCTGCCAGGGTTCTTTGATTTCCTTATCAGGCAAATTGCTTATCTCCGTTTCATTAGGGAGTTTCTCTGGAGTTTTTTCTAGCTCCTTCATTTAGGACATATTTTTCCATCTCCCCATTTTGTTTGACTTTCTTTATGTGTTCCTATGAGTTGAATGGAACAGCCCTCTCTCCCAGTTGTGAAAAAGTGGTTTCCTTGTAGATGTGTGTCAAGTAGTTTTGTTGGGCCAGCTGTAGTCAGGGCAGGCACATGTGGTGGTTGCCTGGCCTGGAGGAGTGGGCTCTAGGAAGCCTGGTGTGCGTGCTTCCGTGTCCTTCTAATCTGGGTGGCATTGCCTGGTGTAGACGGGGCTGCTCAGTGCCTAGTGTGCCCTGTTGCTTTAAGTGTCTGTTGTCAGAGCAGGGTCTGGGCAGGGTTGCTCTGTGCAGGGCTTACCTCTAAGTGCCCTACTATCTGCACCCTTTCTCTGAGTGGGGCAGCTTGTATGTGTGCACATCTATCCTTTGCTAGTTCTGTGCTCTCTCCCAGCAGGGCAGCCCTGCATGCACACGCAGCAGCACCCCACTCACTCCACATGGGACGGCCCTGCACGTGGGTACCGCAGCACATTCTCTCCAGGAGGGCAGCACCACGTGAACACACAGTAGCACCCCAGTATCTTTGCACTTTCTCTGGACAGGGTAGCCCTGCTAGTGGTTATCACAGCATTTTTCTAGCTCTGCACTCTCTAGGGGAAGGGTAGTCCTGTGTGCATGTGCAGCCCAGAGGGTGCATGAAGCATCACTCTGCTGTACCTGCTGGATCAGTCTCTGGATTCGAGGGGCCTCTTGTATGCATGCTGTGGCGCCCTCCTGTTTCTGCTGATCTAGCTCCAGGAGGGGTGACTGTGGACACACTGTAGCACCCTGCATGTCTGCCAGAGAACCTGGCTAGAGGTCCTTCCCATCATCCATGTGCAGGGGAAACAAACAATGGTGCTCAGCAGTTCCTCTGGTCTTGAGGTGTTCCCTCAGCTTCCGGAGAACTCTCACAGTTCCCCATACTTCTCTATACAGTCTCTCTTGCTTACAGAAGCTGTTCAGTTGGCTCAGAGTTGGCTCTTAGGGGGAACTGCTCTAAATATAGGTGTGCATGTGATGTGTTCTTGGGAGGGAGTGGGAGGGAGCAAGCTTAGTGTCCCCTTATGCCACTATCTTCAACCTGGTAGAATGTTTAGAATGTGTGTACTGTGTTCAAAACCTGTTTGGAGGCCTATTGAGCATCTGAGAGCTGTCTTCCAGGACTGATAATCAGCTGGTACCCACCAGTTGTGTGGTAACTAATGTGGTTTGTTGGAAGATGGGGCTACTTGGTAGGATGATCATTCTGATTGGTCAGGCATAGTTTGATTGGTTGTTGTCTGAACCATACCACTAAGCTTGGCCAGCTGGGACAACCCAAAATAAACACAAGGCTCTTAATTCTTTGTGTTACTGTATGAACTAATGTGACTGGATGCTTTGGGGCAGTTAGCAACTCAAAACTTGTTGGAACTGGCTATCCACACATTGCTTCATTCATATCCCTCCATCCCCACCCTGAGGGATGTTCTTTGGTGAACACTCACTTGGAATTTCTTATCTAATTAGTACACTCTGCCATCTCTAATGAAGATCAAATGTTATTTAGGGAAATGTGGCCACAGAATTTACTTGTAACCCATAAGCCATTTGTGTCCCAGGTGAATCGGGACAGTGCTCAATGCAGACCAATCAACACATTTGGCCAGAGGCTCCTTTTTGGCTCCTCTACCAACCCCCACTTATTTCCAGTGACCTAATGTTATGTGTTTTATAATCAAAGAGGCATGAGCTCCCCCTTGCTCCTACCCTTGGGGGATATCATCTTTCTCTTACCTGGAAAAGTCCACTTCTGATAGCTCTCGTTCAGCCCAAGGCAGCTCTGCTTTTAGGCCCTTAACTTATTGGCAGCTTGTGAAATTACAATTGGGAACAGATCTGGCTACACATGGGAGAAATTTCTGTATTGTATCATTGAGGTCAATCAAGGGGACATACAGTGCACATTGATCATTCTCAGTAATTATTTTTTCTAAAAGAGAAAAATTGGTCTTTCCCATCAATACTCTCACCCTGTTATTTCTTCTAAAACCCCCTAGGCAAATATGTCTCAAGCTTTAATGTAAATCACCTGTGAATCTTGTTAAAAATGCTAATTCTGATATGGCAGGTTTGGAGTAAAGTTTTGGATGCTGATTTTTTTATTGAGGTATAATTGACAATAACATTATATTAGTTTCAGGTGTACAACATAATGATTCAATATTTGTATACATTGTGAAATGATCACCACAGTAAGCCTAGTTAACATCTGTCACCATACGTAGTTACAAAAGAATATTTTTTTCTTCTGAGAACTTTTAAGATCTACTCTTAGCATACAGTATACACTACGAATATACAATACAGTATTATTAACTATAGTCCCCAAGCTGTACATTACCTCTCCATGACTTTATTTATTTTCTTACTGGAAGTTTATAACTTTTGGCCCCCTTCACTGATTTTGCCTACACTCACCCCCACCTCTGGAAACCACCAATCTATTTTTTGAGGGTTTCGGGGGGTTTTTTGGGTTTTTTTAGATTCCCCATATAAGTGAGATCATACACTATTTGTCTTTCTTCCTCTGGCTTATTTCACTTAGCATAATTCCCGCAAGGTCCATATGTGTTGTTGTAA